ATTTCAGTCAAAATGTATTATTACTAAGTGCAGAGTAGGAGTGAGATTCACACAGAGGATGAAATTTTCCATCTCATAATGACTTCTTAAATCTTTTTTTAAGTCATTGTTTTAACTCCTTGTTTCCCCCTAATGTGGTGATAGACCCAGTGTCTGTGGCTGGATTCCTCCATGGTAGATCTTTTCTATTTCTAACCTCATCCTCATCTAACCATCATCTAATATCCAAGAAGGTAAATAGGAAGTCAGTCCAAGATGAGGGAGGAAAACTCACACAACACCGTCCTTCCCACGTGACACCCAGAGCCGATGCCACCTCATGCCTGCTTGGGAGTTTGGTTGCCCTGTTTATGAGCAAAGGATTGAGATTTATTAGCGTCACAGGCTATTGCAATAAAGTACCCAGAGTAGGTGGCTCAAGACAAAAGGAATTTATTACTTTACTCTAGAAGGCACAGATCTAAACTCAAGGTATTGGCAAGGCCATTCCACAAAACAGTACCCTGGAGAAGAATCCTCCTTCCTTTCCAAGCTTCTGTTGTCTGCTGGAAATTCTTGATTTTCATGGCTTATAGCAGCTATGACCTCAACTGGCACTTCTAACTTTATATGATTGCCTCCTCTCAGTGTTGAGTTCACTTTGTTTCTTCTCACGAGGATATCAATCATGTTAGATTTCAGCGCACCCTAATCTAGTAACTTCTTTGTGAGGTGATAACATAGCAAAGACCTGCCTGTCTCATGCCCAGGTTCCTGGTGGACACAAATCTGGGAAATAACTCTACTTACTCCAGGATGTTCTGTTCCATGACTTTGGATAACTCTTCTTCTGTGGCTTTGTCTGTTTCTTTGTTTCTGTCTTCTTATTCCCTGATTTTCCTTAGGAATATCTCAAATTTATTGTCTTTCAAGTCACAGGCAAAGATAATCTTCCAAATTTGTCAGGACTGACCAGAACTTTACAATCTGTAGATTAATTTCTAGGGAATATTTATGAGTTAGCATTTATCTGTGAGAACGAGCACACAAGCTAGAATGACTATGGACTGAAGTAGAACAAGAGAACTAGGAAATACGTTACCTTGTCACAGTTTGGACCCTCCCTAAATTCCCAACTTTTCATTGCTAATTACCATCAAACCACCCCTGCCAAATCCCTAGTTTGCCCCAGTTCTTTCCTGCCCTTCTTTCTCATCCTTTTTGGCTGTTGCTGAACTTGCTTTCTTTTGAAGATAACTGAAAGTTCTGTTCTTAACAGAACTCTCCTAATACTGTACCTGTTGTACCTGACATAAGCCATGAGTTTTTAAATTCCAGTACAGAGAATAAAATAGGCTCTTCCATGGATACCCTTCAAGCTTTTGTGCTTATGTGTTTTAAATAAAATCAGCTTCAGTAAAACAAACCAGAGGTGAGTCAGGCAAATACAGGCAGAGGCAGAGGCCTTTTTATGTGATGGAAGTAAATTGACCTGACCGATGAGCCCATTTCAAGGTACTATAGAACAAAAATCTTCATTTTTAGGTCACAGAAAGACTATTAAATTATAAATCAATATCCAGTTGAGTATGTGAACCTTCTCATTTTGTTGTGTTTAACATTTGTTTTTATTGTAGCTGTCATTTTTTACTGCACTCAGCTCTCAGGCTTTGTACCATCAACTGCTGATTTCTCTCAAGCATGCCCCTCAGGAAGTAGAGCATGGAGTGTGAGGCTACCCAGGAAGCTGGCTTCTCAGTTCCTTTTCCTCCAGCATTAGTGGGAGGCCATATAGGCTTTGGCCATATTTGTTTCATACCGGCATTTCTCCTGACAAATTGGCGTCTGGATTATAGTGTTAGGAAAACACCACATGTGAAGAGATGACAGTTTGAGTGATCCTGGGGCACAAGAAGATGAACTGAAAACTGATCATAATTGGCTTAAGACAGAATACACATAGGAGACCCTTACAATATTTTTGTGCTACAACTTAATAACTCATAGCTTATTCTAGACAAAACACAAACAGTATTAGGTGAGTTATTTCACCAACAGAATTTTAAATTATCTATCCAAATAGACTTAGCAACAGCTTTCAACTTTTCCTTGTTGAGAGCGCTGTAGGGCAATGTGCTTCCTGCTGATAAGGTTAATGCTTCCTTTCAGCTGATGACTGGGATTTGGAGGAGAATAAAATCAAACAGATTATCAGTCACTGGTAAAGGTTTTCTAAAGATCAACTGTTTAAAACTGGAGAAACGTGTGAGTGGCTTCAAAACTCTATTGTAGTCCTGTTCAATGACTGTCTATGACATTAACATACTAGACAGTGTCAGATTTGCCTTAAAGTCAATGACAAGATTTTGCTCTGCTTCCTTTATCCAGGTTGCTGTGGTAATTCTTTTAGTCAGTGAGTAGAGCAGCCATGAGGGTAGTGTCCATTGTGGTCCTTACAGCACTACAGCACTGTCTCTCTGTCATGGAGACAACACAGAATTAGAGGGGGAGGAGGTGTGCACGCATCAGAATATCTGACAATTTTTCCTACATATGAGCAGGTTTTAAAAGCATGTAACTTAATGAACAATGAATTTTGCATCTTTTCTCTATTGGTAGCTAAATTATTAGCCAATAATTTTACTCCTAGACCCAAAATTTTTTAGTGTGTTCTTGTGTCTAGAAAGTTCTTGCTAGGAGACAATACATAGTATTGTCAAGCAATTGTCCTATTGAAGACACTTTACCAGAAACCTTATTTTGACTCTTTTATTAACCCATATAACAACTCCATGAGTTAAGGACTAATATTCGAAAGATGATCTGGAGATTAGAGATAGTAAATTATCCATGAAGCATCATAGCAGAATTGAAGCCCACTTTGTCTAATGCCACAACCCACATTTAACCCATGTACTAGACTGTTTCCAAAATGGTTTGACCTAGATGTTAATTAAACAGTTACAAATATTCTTCTCCCCATGACAAACTTGGACAAACTACAAGCAGTCACATCACTGTTCTACTAAATTTGAAACTCTGGAAACATTTATGTCATGCTCTTGTTCTCTCATTAGTTGACATTTTTGTCATGTTGTCACATTCTCCATGTGGAGCCCTGGCATGCTTTTCCTAAATCAACTTTCATCTATTTTAGTCACAAATTTCAAGTTATTAAGAACCTCCCTATTTCTTCTATATTTTGTTATTCGCTCAACCACAAACACAGCATGAGTACACAAAGGGTATTGGTAGTCTGGAATCACCTCCTATGTTATTTCCAGGTAACTGTTGGTAGTCACTAATTTTTTCATCTTCAGTGTTCTCTTTCTAATCCCTTCCTATGATGTTAAGTCTCAAACCCAATGTCATCAATCTAACAAACTATGACATGATCATTCATTCATTCTTGTTGGTATTGATACTATTTAAGGGCAGGCTTAGTGGAGCACACCTTTGATCCCAGCACTCAGAGAGGCAGACAAATCTTTATGAGGCCAGCCTAGTCTACATAGTGAGTTCCAGGCTAGCCAAGAGTACATAATGAAACCCTATCTCAAAATAAAAAACAAAATACAAAACCAAAAAAAAAAAAAATGTATAAAAACTCTTGAGGGCACCATTCACAGTCTACTTACTCTAGAAATTCATACTTCCTGAGCTAGGGCAACACTGGGGCCTGTGCTATGTTCAAAAAAAGGCAATTTCCCTAAATTACAAGTGAGTGAAGCCATTCTGTTTACATGCTAGGGTTCTTGATAACCATTTTATCAAATAAACAACCCAATGAGAAAGCCCTTTGAGAGAAGGAGCTGGGAGCTCATATATCACATCTCTGCCTTTAGGTTGAGCCCATCAGCCAATCATATCCATTATTTTAAAATCAAAGTTGACTCACTTAAGCCTCTGCATTACATTTTCCCATTGTGTTTTCCAATTGTTGTAGGTTTCCTTGTAAATTCCTTTGCACCTAGCAGGATACTAACATCCTGCCCCCTCACTGGGCACTGAGATAATATCGGATTCTTGGCTCCCGTCCTGCTTTGAAAAGCTAATCAATAAAGTATATTTAAAAAAAAACTCACTTGTTTTTTAAATAAAAACTTATTGAAATTAATCTTTATAAATGAAAGAAAAAGCAATAATGTTTAATAGTGACTAATCCTAAAAATGTATGTTCATGGATTTGTTTTCTAAGAGATTAAATGAACTTGTTCCCTGCAGCAATGTTTCTCCTAAGGCATATACCTAGTAATAACTCATTCAGTAAGTGAACAAGCAGGCAACTTGTTCATGGAGGCAACTGGAAAACTATTTTGCTTTTTTGAAATTTAGAATAACAAATATGTCATCATGTCTCTAACATAATTATCAGAATTGATTTTGTTTTCTAGACATTTATGGCTTCAGCCATAAATGTTACTAAATTCCATATTTTAATTTATATTTGATATGTACTTTGAAGTCAAATCTACTACCTTTTAATACGGTAAAATACAGAAGTAATGAGAACATAAAGAAAAAAACAGAATTTGACAGAATTTTCAAGTTTCAATAGTCTCTCTTATTTTTTTCCATAACCACATTTTCCTAACAGGGTAAAATGAAAATATTAGAATTTCTCTTCAAACACACACACACCCTCACTCACTATTGATGGGAGCATAAAATGATAAACTTAAAAGCAATATTTTATTCCTATTATTAAACAAACCTTGCTTATTATTGGTCTTGAACTGTAGGAGAGGGTACTGTGGATCCACAGGGCTGTAAATATGGCTTTCAAAGCCACACTGGAGTCAAGAAATTGATATCATCATCCCAGTATGCAGTGACAGGTCACGGTGTTACTATCCTGCTAGGTGCAGAGAAATTTACAAGGAAACCTAAAACAATTGGGACAATGAGAAAATGTGATGCAAAGGCTTAGATGGGTCGACTAATTTAAAATAATGGATTTGATTGGCTGATGGACTCAATCTAAATAAAGATGCTCCCAGCTTCTTCTCCCAAAGGACTTTCTCATTGGGTTATTTATTTGATAAAATGGTTTTCAAGAACCCTAGCATGTAAACAGAATGGCTTCACTCACTTGTAATTTAGGGTAAGATCCATGTTTGAACATAACACAGGCCGCAGTGTTGCTGCCCTTAGCTCACGAAGTACCAATTTCTAGAGCAAATAGACTGTGACTGGTGCCCCCTAGAGTTGAGCAGACATTCTGAAGAACTGTGTAAGCTATGCTGGTTTTAGTTTCAGGAATATTTTCAGTGTGTTTTACAGTAGGAAAAATAGTTCCTAATCTTTGATTATGCTGATTTTTAGACCATTCTCCACAGTCTAAAATATCAATGTTTAGTTTTAAATAGATTTTTTTCAAAATGGGATTCCCTCCCCTCTTCCCCCAAAATAAAAGGTGAAACATTATAAGACTTAGGAAAGGTATTGCCTTGAGCTACAGGTTTAAAGTCTGGGAATAAAAGTTTCAAGTGGAAAAAGGAGAAAAACATACGGAGAAGGTGCTAGCTTGCACTTTAGGAACTTTGACCCAGAATCAGTGGCTCCCTCCCTCCTGCTTCAGTCTCACAGTGTTACAGAGGCTGGGCTCAACTTGCTATGGAACTGAGGTTGACCTTGTCCCTCCTGATCCCATCTCCACCTCCCCTGCTGGGACTGCAGACATGCACCACCATGCCTGGCTACAATCAGGTCCTTTATAGATTTGAAATTCTGCTGTTGACTCAGGACCCTGACTCCCAGAACCCATTGTCTTCCTCCTAGGTCTTTTCACCTAAAGCTAATAAAAAAAAATCTGGATGTGGTAGGAATAAGAACTCGGCATTATTATAGAAATAAAATAATCATTATCTCAAAAGAATAAATTTAATAACTACGATTTCCCTCGCTTGCCTTTTTTACTAGCGATTAAAGCCAGGGCGTTGTATAACCTAAGCATGTGTTTTACCACTTAAGCTATACCTACACCCTTCTTACTGCTTTGTGATGGCAAAATTAAACTTTATTGTAACTTTTCTCCTATAGGAGGCATTGTACATCCTCTGTCACCTTTGATGAGATGAAAGTTTAAATATTTTCTGGCCACTTTGCACTAACTAAGCTTTTTGTGTTCAACAGGCTGTGGTGGGGAGATGTCTGGAGACACAGGATCTTTCAGCAGCCCTGGGTACCCTAACGGCTATCCTCCCGACAAGGAGTGTATCTGGAACATTCATGTGGCCCCAGGGAATATCATTCAGCTCACCATCCATGATTTTGATGTGGAATATCACTCAAACTGCAACTATGACACCCTGGAGGTAGGAAGTCAAATTGTTTTTTCAGTATATTACAAAATCTAGGGTAAAACTGGAGAGAGCCTACATTCATTCCAGTGGCTAGCCCTGTTCTATTCTTAGACATTCTAACAAGTATCTCCTCTCTGTGGATAATGTTAGCACACATATGGGATTAATATGCCAGTTGGATCTCTCTCCTAGTAGTGCCTGGGGGCCTTGGCTGGGGCTGGTTCACTAGGAGGTAAGGAGAGCCAGCAGCAATTGGGGCACAATGTAAGAAAAGAACTGGAAAAGGGTTGCCCATGGAAGGAAGGAGCCGAGCTGCAGTGGACAAGTTGGTTTTGGTCCCTTTTAGGGATGGAGAGGAAGCTGATTCATTGGTCCCTTTCTGTGATCCCTGTTGATAAAGACTGTGCTTGGGATTTTTAGCAGCCCTCACTTCTACTCCTGGTCTGAGGAATCTCCCTTAGAGAATGAATTCTGCATTTGGAAGTCAGTGGGAAGATGGGCCCCAGCACACTGACCACAGGTGTATTGCTTTCACAGCTACCACCTGGGGTTCTGGCCACTGTTCTGCTAGAGATACAGCTGCAGCTGCTACAGAGGGACTGTCTTTTAAGTCACTTAGTGTGGCCTTTATCTACAAAAAGGCCTTTGTAGATAAGGACTTTCCAATGCTACTTCAAGAATTTATCTCAGAGAAATTAATGCAACCTTTGAGAATTTGGGGCCTTAGTTTGTAATAATCAACTTCCGAATATATCAGCAAATTGAATGGTTTCCAGACATACACAAATTCTCCATCACCTCAGCTATGGGTACAACTATTTCACGTCATTATACAGCTAATAACATGTAGAATTCATGAGGCTGGGCATTTGGTTTATTCCCTCCCTGCCCCCCTGTATTCATAGTGCCAAATGCCTGGCAAAGAGTAAGCACCCGATGTTCGTGAATGAGCAAAAGCATCCACAACTCTGACTGACATGTGGTAACAACACACATTTGGGTCACAATGATTGTACACAACCACATCCACATTGGATGTGAATAGTCTCATGCAAGACGAGGAGGACTCTGTCCACATATTAGGAGTTGTCAAATCACATCTCACATTCATGGCCTTTTCTATGACTGCCTGGATGGTGGCTGTTATAGGCATGGATGGTACCTGATGAAGTTTCCAGTTTCATGTGTCCCAGGGTAATGAAGTAGACCAGGGATACATGGTTATACATAGACATAGAGACAGTTTTTAAGAAAGGGAAATGAGACTGGGCTAGTGAGCTGAGGGAAAGCATGCCCTTGAGAGTAGCGTGCCTCAGTGCTCATCAACTTCTTTGGCCATGTATGCAGCTCAAGCCTCTCCCTCATTTGTATTGTTGTGCCTGTTGTGCCCAGACTCTGAACCCCCCCAAACCACCATGAGACCAGACCTGATGCAAAAGCAAAGAGTCTTTAATTTTACGAGTATACTCAGGTTCCCTCATCCATCTGACACAACGTGTAAAGCAGGAGGACCTTGAGCAGCAGTGGAGCAGGGAATATATTGGGGTAGAACAAGGGGAGTATGCTGGGGTCTGTGAGTTACATACCAACAGTCTCAGGATTGGTGCACCTCTGGGATTGGGCAACCTGTCCTGAGTTGATTGGTCAGTTGCAGCTGCAGGACGGTGGCTATTCCTAAAGGCCATCCCTCTGCATTCCACTATTATCAGTAAAGCACATCCAGAGCCCACCAGCTGACTTCTGATTGGTTCCTTGCCACATGGAGGCTATCTGGCTTCCTAGTGCATAGTGCAAGGTCAGGCAAGGTGGAGAGCTCAGCACATGCTGCTCAGTCAGAGGCCTATGTCTTGCTGGGTCTTTTCTGCAGCCTGTCATGGCTGCCAAAGCAGGGGGCTGGGCCCTTTAGTATATCCTGGGCTTTCCTTGGGCAGGATCTCTTCTATACAGCTAGGAGGGGAAGAGTTTCAAGGTTTCCTTTGGCAACTGCTGTTTTCCATATATTAATCTTGATATAGTTTTCTCCAGCGAGAACTCTCCTCCACAAATGGAAGGCCTACTATGAAATAAATCCATGAATCCAGTTACCACTCACTGCTCTCTGCAAGCTCAGATAAAGTGAAGATTGAAAATAGCAAAGAGGGCTTTATAGGAAAACTTTAACCCTTAAAAGTTACTTGGTAAGAAGAAATGGAGTTCTCAAGCCCTAGTGGGTACAGTCACGCGGAATTACATTCAGCCCCTCAGTTCCCTCTACAAGGAGGCAGTGAGAGAAAGGGAGTCAGGTCCAAAACTGGGAGGCCTTGGGTCAAATCCATACCCCTCTCTGTGGTAAGAACAAGGTGCCCCCCAAAATTCACCCTTAAAGCTTGAAGAAGGATCCACGGGATGCTCAAGTCATTTCTCTACCAACAAGGATACTATTTGATTGCATAAAACCCTTAACACTTACAAAGGGTTGGCAGCTGATTCTCCGCAGCATTGCACACGGTTCCAGGTTCCAAGCCCTTCATCTTAGTATTCCAGAGTACATGTGATTGGTGCCCACTTGGCAAAATGTAAATGGATTCATTGTGCTTTGGGTCTTGTCACATCCATTATGTGAGAAAGCATAGACAAGGGGTGTCCTCTGTAAGCGGCCTCAAGAGCACAGGGACAAAATGAGAGACTCCAGGCAGCAAGCAGCACTCTTAGAGGTAGGCAGACCTATGCCAGATCAAAAATGTCTGTGACAAGAGGTGGCAGCCTGCTTGGGAATGTTTATTAGGACAAGCTGACAATTTTGTGGGCTCCCAACTTCTACTAGGAGCACAGTTTGAAAGACTGTGTCAAGGTTCAGAGGCTATAAAGAGTAACTCCTTGGCCTTTCGTTCACAAACTTTTTTCATTTCTCTACCAATGTTCAGTTTTTTAGTGAGTTAGCCCTGATATCAGCTTGAGAAGAATTTTTTTTTTTTTAATTTTCTTTCCTTAGTCACTGATAATACATTGACAGTAGGTTTTTAAATCTGTTACCCAGATGGGTGTGTACTCCAGAAACAAAGCTAACTTTCTCAACTTGCACATTCACATTTCCTGTCCTACTGAGCACAGCCAAGTAGGACTTACTGTCACTAGACACTGGACTGCCTGGGATCCACTGAATTTTACCACCTCTCCTTTAAAGAATCATTGTCCACAAAGTGGCCAGTTGAACAAAGCAACAGCCCTAGAGCTACTCATAACTCCAGAATGCTGACTTGATCTTCAGAATAAATGGAGCTAACAGAGCAGAAAGCAATGTTCAGAACAGATTAAAACTACAGGCTTTGAAATACTCCCCATCCTGGGCATTTGCTAAAAACACACATTAATCTCTGATCGGCGTACCATCGCTTGCCCCCACAGCATTTAGTCACAAGCTGGAGTGGAATGAATCACGCCCTGAAATTCTTTCCATCCTTTCCCACTTTGACCATGTGCTAACTATCAGTTTTATTTATGGGAACCAAAAACCGCCATCCTGTTGTTTTGGTTATGGAAATCCCAGGCTGATTTTGTTTCGGTCTCCAAGAAAGCTCTGTGCAGAGCCTGGAGAGGAAATCCCCACCCTGGTACAATAAAAAAGACAATTGCTTGGTGTGGGCAGCTTGCAGAGGCAGGGCCTCTCAGCAATGGTCATTTGTGAGCTGAGCCCGGAGCCAGGGGAGGCAAAGAATGTCCGAAGTGGCAGTGTTTATTCTTTTGGAGGCTTCTAGGCCTAGCCAACTCATACCCATTATGTTTGTGATCTCAAGGGGATACATGGACAGGGAAAATAAAGATTATTTTGCCGACTTGTAAGTTTCTTTGTCAGCACTTAGCACCAGTGCAGTGTTCTCTGGGAATACATGCTGCTTGTTGCGCTCCTCAGATTAGGAACACATGCTGCTAGCTGCATGTGCTTGGTGGGGACTGTGCTCTGGGCTGAGGTAGGAAGGACAGAAAGAGTTTCTTAACAAGATGAGCTTCTGTTCACATGTGCATACATGGAAAGAGCCAACAATGGAGGCTCTTTCCAAAGCTGGGCTTTTCATGGCATCTTCAGGGCCTCACCAACAGCAAACATTAGTTCCTCCTAATGAAAATGAGCCCAGAGCAATTGCCTGCCTCATTCCTTTGCAATTACTGTGCTTTGTGCTCAGCCCTCTGGGGAACAGAAGTTTCTTTTTCTTTAGCAGTTCTTGCCTGGCTGGGGGTGGGAGGGTGTGGGGTTGTGGAGATAATCAGACAAAGAAATCATTATAAATTCAAGTCATATACTCCTCTTCCAAAGTGGGTTTCTTGTTCTCACTCTCTCCCCAGGGAACTCTTGAGTGAATTCCCTATCAGTCAGCTGAGGGCTTGAGGGTGAGCATGAAGTGGGGGCAAGGTGAGGGAGGGGTGCAGAAGAGCAGAGGAAAGAGGCCCAGCTTGGAGAGGTGAGGGGTTGTTGCCCATCGAGGTATCACCCAGAGATGCCTTCCTGGCTGCTGTGAAGGACTCAGACATCATTACCCTTGAAAACTGTCACCCAAAGTGATCTGTCTTCTACAAAGCAACATTGAGAAGACTTTGAAGATGGGAGTAGGGATGCCAGTGTCTTCTCTTTAAGTTGTTTTGTCCCCTCACTCCCAGATAAGGAGTGTCTGGCATATGAGTTCGCCTGGAGGTAGGGCTGAGGAAAGGAAACACTTGCCAGCAGAATGTGCCCCTGAGTTGTGGGATTCCAGTCAGACATACAGTCGGGCAAACTTGGGGGTACATGGGTCGGCTGCAGTCATGTGAGACAGACTTAGAGGGTTTCCACATGGGAGGTGGGAAATCCTGGCTGCACTCTTTAGAGCAGGTGTGGGAGATTCCACGTCACTCCTGTGATGTCCAGAGTACACTTCTGCAGGTTGTATTTGATTCCTTTTGAGGAAGCAAACCTGCTATGTTTGATTCCTAATCCTAATAAACATTCAATTTTCAGGGTAGATGGAATTTTAACTAGAAAATCAAAAGCCTTCAGTGAGCTCAATATTTATAAACAAAACCAACTTTCTCCTGAGACTTATAAGACTTAGAAAATATGTCTTTATACCGTACTATATGCAATGTCTCTGTCAGAGAAAGCAAGAATTCAGATACACGAAAAAGAAGAAAGAAAACAGGGAAAAGGCTGGAATAATCTATCTGTTCTAACTTGACTATTGAATCTAATGAAGCAAATAGGTATTTTATGGGTGATTGAAATTTTGTCTTCCTGAAGCAGAATGGGTGCCTATAAACACTCAGTTCAAATTTATAGTTCATCTCACCCAGGGAGACTGAGAGCAATCTCTAATCATAATAGATTCTAAGAGTTGTTGCAAAACAGCAGCTCAAGACAGAGTTGAAATGCCTGGCTGGATCTTTTAACTAACGTCCTTTTCTGCACCTTGTTAGATCTATACAGGCCTTGATTTTCACTCTCCAAGAATAGCTCAGTTGTGTTCCAGAACACCATCGGCAAACCCCATGCAACTCTTCAGCACTGACAATGAACTAGCAATCCGATTTAATACTGACAGCAGTATAAACGGGAGAGGTTTCAATGCTTCATGGCGAGCAGTCCCTGGAGGTAAGTAATAAAGAGATATCCTGGAGGCATTTGAGCTGAATTTGAATTTTACAAAATTATTGGAAGAAGGCATGAGAGTTATACCCCAATGACTTTGTAACTTCTTCAGTAGCCAGTGTTGCTTTGATATATACTCTTCCTTAAAAATCATGGTGGGGTTTACCTTTCTCAGAATATAAGTAGGCCAGTCCATGTAAGAGCAGAATAGTGGTGGTTTATATTCCCCAGGTCACATCTAAACATTAGCAAGCATCCAGTTACCTCATGCCATAGAGTAGACTTTGGATCCTTAGCAAATGTCAAAAGAAATAAGCACTGAATGTGTCAAATCCAAAATTAAGTGTTGAGACAGTGATTTTCTGCCCAAGATCTTAGGTTGTCAAAATAAATTGCTTGTTTCAGATTTTTACATTACACATTATATCACATTTCTTTAACATGATTGCTGGGGTTAGTGGTGTTTGTAGAATGGTTACTATATCTCAGGTACTTTTCTACCTAATGAGTGTTATTTTATTTAATCTTTACAATTTACACTGTGAGGGAAATCTATTGTATACCCTCATCTGACAAACAGGGAAGGGGAAGGAAGCTTAGAGAGCTCAATGACTTTCCCAAGGTCCCATTGCTGTATGCTAGTGCAGAGATCCTTAGGCCACTTTCTTAACACCAAGGCAGTGTGGAGCTATGTGAAATCTCTCTTAGAGTGAATTACCTATTAATTTATATGTAGAACATTCAGGTTAGTCCCACTGCCAGCAAAAAGTGCTGAAATTACCTGCCAGTTGTTGGTATTATCATAAATCCAAAGAACAATAGTTTACATTGATAGACTTTTCATTAACAGATATTTGATAACATTATGGAATTAAACACATCTTAAGTAATGTATTCTATCTGGAGTATTAACAATTTCAAAGGCAGATAGTAATTAATCTATAACATTATATGCAACTAGACTATCTAACATTTCAAAGGCAAGGATGATTCTTAGAGTATGTGATGTTTTAGAGAACAACAAAGGGATACCTTGTAGTTTGTGAAAGCATGAATTCATCTGTATTATTTTTGCTGTCATTTTTAATTTTTTTTGAGACATGACCATGCTGATCTCAAACTTTCCATATAGTAACAAATAACTTGGAAATTCTGATCCTCCTGTCTCCACTTCTGGAATACTGGCGTTATAGGATGCATGGCTATGCACAATTTATGCAGTTTTGGGATTTGAAACTAGGTTCTTGTGCATGCTAGGCAAACACTACCAAATGAATTATACCCTCAGCCAACATTATTATTTTAATTAACTTTGACAGCAATATTTATAGTATTTAAAGTATTTTATTCATATTATCCATGGCCTATTATTTATCTTGGGATGAATGAATTAACGTTGATATTTAGTTCATTAAAGTTTTAGCATAGAACCGATACAGTAGTGAAGTCACATAGGATTCTGATCATCTGTGGTGTTAGAACCAGGTGACTTACAGTTTTATATCACAGGAATTCCTGTCATAACTGAACTGGGTGTCCTTCTTGCAGGTTGTGGAGGGATTTTCCAGGTTCCCAGAGGAGAGATTCACTCTCCAAATTACCCAAATGGCTACAAAGCTAATACTGAGTGTTCTTGGGCTATTCAAGTTGAAAAACATTACCGGGTGCTCTTCAACATCACTGACTTTGACCTTGAAGCAACAGATTCCTGTATTATGGTAAGTGGCACAAATTTCAAACATTGTTACTATTGCAATGTGAGCGAATATTGAGAATATGCTGGATGTTTTCAGAGTCAGGTTATAGGAGAGCCAATTCCTAGCAATTTTAAATATAAGGACATTGTATTTCTGTTTGTTTCTTTGTTTTGCTTAAAATCTGACCAGGAGGTAGATGATGTGGAGGCTTGTTCAGCAGCTGCATCCCCACTCTAGCATTTTAGGTTTTATTTTGATTTTTGCTTCATATAAAAAAATAGCTTCAATAGCCCTATCTCAGTCCATTATCTTGGAAAAGTGTGTGTGTGTGTGTGTGTGTGTGTGTGTGTGTGTGTGTAAACAGGAATTTCTACAAAGCCTCCTTATGGGCATGACTGGCCACAAACTAGATCAGGGAAGCCCATTTGGAGAGTCATCATTACTAATTTAGATGGGTTATCATTAAGCTTCTGTGGTTCCTAAACAGTCTTTTCTCATGATCAGATTTTTTCAGTTTTCTACTTGAACAAAACAATACTCTGATAGAACCAAACAGGCTGGGAGACTGGGGAACAGAAAGGGATGCAGCTATTAGTGGGTTTAATGATAAAGAGTTGTTGCAGCTACCAACAACTAAAGCTTTCTGACTTGAAATGAATACTATGTAGTTAATGTAAGAATGAATGAAGTGTTCTTCAGCTTTGCACTTTAAAAAAGTTTTGGTTACTGATTTTTCCAGCAAAAGATTTTCCATGTTCCATTTGTTTCTAGGTAACTCACACTAATGTAAACCAAGCTTTCTTGGTTAGTGGATCTTCCTATTTTAGTTTCTTTTGAATGTGACTCAAGAAATTCCAAAAGTTTTTCCATGTTTCAAAATCATTAAGTGTGCATTTTAAGTTTTATTTTACAAGGTTGGATCATTAGAAAAAGTTCATTGGACTCATGACTGTATACTTACCCTCTAACCAAGCCTTCAGAATCCAAGTGGGCAAGGTAATATACATAGGACATCCATTCTCCTTAATGCTAATTTGGACCAACTCTCCTGGAAAAGAATATTTAAAATTGGATGACATTTAAAAACAGCTTTCTGAATGTAGCAATGTCTCATTTAATATGTGAAATGTGAACACAGAATTTCGAACAGTCTTTGCCCATAAGGGTTTTGACCATTCAAAAAAGGTCAGCAGTACTTGTGGGGCTTCAAGAGCAATGATGACAATGAGCTCAGAGCCCAGTTAGGTACAGATTCTGAAAAAAAAACTTTATTCCCTAAGTAAAATAAAGGTGCAATAGCCTCTACAGTGACTGCTTCCCAGCTTCAAGTCATCTGTGTTGTCCCCACAAACCTCAAAATAAAGGACAGCAAAACTTGTATTGTTTATATGTTCAGGTATGGGCACTGGGAAAGCAATGTAGAGTTTTCTTTAAGGGGAGAGAGAATCATCCTACACCCTCTGTATGTTCTCATGTGCTGTATCCAGCAGCCTGTTGAAGGTGTAAATGAGACACAGCAGAACAATGGGTAACAGAAACAAAGTTGATGACATGCCCAATACTGAGGTCACCAGACACTAAGCTCCTGAAGATAAAAATCAAACTAAAATATTTTAGTAAAGAATTGAAAACTATACAAAGCCACATTACAGCCATAAAAAGAGCAAAGTGAAAATTTTAGACGCCCCCCCCAAAAAAACCCACACTATCTAAAGACTCCAGGATAAGGATGTTTGGAAAAATTAGATTAACTAATAAGTGAGAAATGATGAACTGGAAGACAAGTCAGAATAATGAATACAAGAAAGGCATAGGTGAACAGAAGACTAAAATAGGAAGAGGGCTCAGACATGTTAGAGATGCATAGAAAAAGATCCTAGAAGAGAGAAAAGAACATGACAGAATTACCTAAATTCACAAGCAGAATAAATAGAAAGGCATGTTTACTTAAGAAAAACTAAAAGCAAGGGGAGGGGTATAGAAAGACTATCTTTGAGAATCCTGTAGACTAAATGCTGACTTTCTACAGCAACAATCAGAAGCAAGCCAACAAACAAAAAGCAAATGGAATTGTAAGTTCTGCCTAAAGAAAGAAACTCTATAGGCTTGCAAAATTTCTTTACATGCAAAACATGAGTAAATACAGAATCAGAGAAGGGTCTTTGGTAGAAGTTAGGATGGGTTGGAAGCATACTGTCTACCCATAGACAAGGACAACAGGCACCTCTCCACTTCCTCTTCCTTTAGCACCCACAGTGTAGACAAGTGGAGATACAGCTGCTCCATGGCATATTCTGTGATCCCTAGAGCTCAATATACAGTGTATGATCAGGTCAAAAGCCCAGGTTAAAGGCACACCCAACTTGGGTGTGTTTTTCCTTTCTGTGCTCATGAAATGTTTTTTCCATGGACCTTTCGGACAAATATACAGATAAAAGTTTGTGTTAACTACTGACATATCTCCATGCATAACAGGGCTTGGCTTAACCAACCATGGCAGGAGAAAATGGGCAAGAGGAAACAAAACCTCAAATGTGGTCTCATCAGAGGATGGGGGCGCACAAGTAAATTGACAGACGGATTTTGGGAGGGATTCCGCTTGGCAGAGGCATCAGAACACAGCATATGATCCTCTGAACACATTCTCAGTATGAAACAGCTGGAATAGCCTAGGCTGTGGGCAGAAGGGTGCTGAGAAGCAGAAATCCCGAAGCACTTGACGAGTTATGATATAACTAGTGAGCTGCACCAATGCTGAGTGTCACTGTAGTACAGTGGCTCAGAGATCTGGCTTTCTAGTTTAATGAAGCTGGGTCTAGCCCAGATGTGGTCATTACTAGCTGTGCTGCTTGAGAAGAGTTTAGCATTCAGCTTTAGTCTCATTGAATGGACTAGGTTAATAAGGGTGGTCTATGCCATATTTGTCTTGGGTTATTTGAAAAAATGTGGAATGACGTGCTTGCTGTCAAAGAGAACTTTTGACTGTGGCCTTCAGCATGCATGCTTCTGTTACTGCTGGGTCATGTGATTTCAGACAGGCATGTTCAATGAGCAGGAGAAGAGGCAGCATGCAATATTAGAAGGGTAAATGGGCTTAGCAACAAGCTGGGAGGCTCCTCATCTTTGACACTGGGCCTAAAACTCCTTAGATGCAGTTTATGAATCTTCCTAATGGAATTCTACCTTGGTGTACCCAAGACTCAGCACACTGCCGTAATAATCACAAGAAAGCAGCAGGGAGTGACTCATTTGTTTCTGGAAGCTGGAAAATCTTTTACACTGGAGGTGACAGTTAAGTGACAGAGAGTGTGCAGTGAGGCAAGCGGTAAGGGAGGCTGCCAGAGAAGGATGGGTAGGAAAATGGCAAATGGATGTTAGAACAGAAAAGGCAAAGATTTGTGCCTGGAGTATAGACAGTCGTGAAGAAGCATGAAGACCAAAGCCAACAGAAGCCATCCAAGTCGAATCCTTTTCCAAGCTCTAGTTAAAAAGAAAATGAAATTATCTTATAGGTAGATTCAGTAAATTTTCCCACATTACAGAGGAATAACCTACTCAGGGCTATATTTTACAATGAGCATTGTAAAGAATGAGAAAAAGAAAAAGATTCAATAAAGACCATTGAGAATCAGTGGGAAATGATTGAGTGGTAAAGTCTTATTCTGGGTAGTTGTCTTAGGAATGGAAAGAAGGGACCATTCATACTAGTGACCTGTTATGTTGAAAAACCCATGGGCCAATTATATGGTGGAAGGTGAGTGGGCAATAGAGGGTGGGGTGCAGAACAGGTGAATGACAATGCCTTTCACTGAATAAAGAGTTAAGCAATCTGGGTTTGATTGGAAGCTTTTGTGTTTAATGGCTACCTATAGAGTTCAGAGCTTGAGTTCAGTGGTCAAGGTAGGGGTCTTAATTGGGGATATTTATGTAATTGTATATGTATTTCTAATTGGGGGGTTCTTGAAGTTGTGGGACTAAGTGTAGTCACTTATAAGAGAACAGGGGTCACATCACCATTCAAGGGGCAAAGGAAAGCTCAGAGGACAGGAACTGAGTAGAATACCAGGGACATAGGAGAAGAACCAGAGAGACTGGTCATAGAGAGACCTAGAGCAAAGCTGAAAGTAAGGAATGGGTGACCAAAGGTGTCACATTCAGCAGAAATGACAGTATAAGAAGGATGGAAACAGAGTCACTGGGTTTGATAGCCTTGTAAGGAAAAGGTCAGTGTGTGCAATGGTGGAAGACTCTAGATCACATCAGGATAGAAAGTACAGGACTTCTTGAGTGCTCCATGGAATCATAGACATAAATGACATGGAAGGATGAAAGGTAATAACCCATGGATAAAAGTAACCAATAGAAAATTATTTTAAAAGTCATAGGAAAACTCTGCCAAATGTAAGAGACAAAGAAATTGTTGTAGCCTGTTATCAATACAGTCTTGACACACAGTATTATGGTTTGAATCTGAGGTATTGCCCCAAAGGTTAATAATTTCAGCACTTGATTTTAGCTTGTAGTGCCATTTGGAGGGCTGTGGAGACTTTGGGTGTTGGGGTGGGCTGGAAGAAGTAGGTTACTATAACATCCATGCGAATGTTATACTTTGTGGTATTCTGTGTGAGTTATCCAGTTCACATGCTCTTACCACCAGAATCGGAGCCCCTCCACCACCATGCTCTTTCTGTTATGATGAGCTAAAGTGACCGTGAAACCATTAGCCAGGTTAAGTCCTCCCTCCCTTCAGCTGGCCCTGTCAGATGTTATGTCACTGACACAAAATTAACTAATGCAATGACCCTGATGGGTCCTACAATTGTACATTATTAGAATGAGAAGTTAGAACACATGACCTATTTTTTTTTTCTGATTTATACATTTATGTTGTTAGTGGCACAAGATTTATATAAGCTAAGTCATCCTTATATAATTTAGAAATCACCTTTACAACAAGGTAACTAAGTATGAAAAAGGCATATAGGTAAGTTGGGAAAGACATCTGCTGCACACAGTCACCA